CTAGACAGGGCAAGAAGAAAAACATGTAAAAACGATTACATCATAGTTTTTTGATTTCTATAGACATCTAAGTGGGCATACGCACCACTCAACCCATTGATAATGAGAGTATGATCTCCTATGCTTTATCCATGTGTACATTAGGTATTTGCATTGTCCGCTATCTTAGTTGGATCGACACAAATGTTTTTAAAAACCAAGTCAAATCTTGATTTCCATATCAGCCAGATAGCACCATAGCATACACTTATAAAAGATGAGTTCTCCAATGTTGTCAAATTGTGGGGTAGGAATGTCACACCATTTAAAGATCCACTCCCATACTATTACCGCTTGTGGACATCGAATCAGAATATGCCCGACATCATATTCCATATACCTGAGCATCAGAGTTAGGTGGCTTTATCCAGTTCCATGTCTGTTGAGACATTTGTATCCGCTCATTAACTTTGCAAGATTTATGTCTCTAAAGTTGGTACAAATTTGGAAATTTGTTTTTGAGAGGCTCATTACCACACCATGTATCATTCCAAAATAGAGGGTCATCTCTTTCACATACTTGTTTTTTGAATGTCTTGAAACTTAATTCTAACCTTTTGTAATTCAGTTTTCGCCCCAACCACATTGTTCCATACCCCATAAATGGATATTTTAGTCAATGAATCAGAAGGTTTGTTACTTAAATTGTGGATGCCCATTATTACCCTTGAGGTTGAGCTTCAAGTCTTGTATGAGATATAGGTAAATTTAGAAGTAGCTTAGGAATATATTGTATTTACCGTTAAAAAAAACAACAAAAATCCACCACCATTTAACGATCAATGAGAAATTGAAGGCTCGGAGTGAACCCAATCCCAATCCTCCTTTTTCCTTTGTGCTAAAATCTTTTCCCAAACAACCCAACTTATTTTTGGCTTATTGTCGCTTCGGCCCACAAAAATTGTCTTTTAATTTTTTCCATTGTATTGATAACTCCCACCAAAGTAGCTAGGTTTTATATTTGCACTTTAAATGCACGCTTTGATTGGTTAGAATAACAATAAATGATTTGGAGACAAATGTCAAGAACTTCACTATTTTCTTCACCGAAGTTAATGTTTATGGTCAAAAGTTGTATTAAATTATAATTCTACAACCAAACATTTTGGTTCAAAAACCATTTATTTTCAAATCTCACCGAAGATCTTACTACTATCTTTAATGAGACATCGAAATACTACTACCACGTTTATAGATCCGAAGTTCATAATTTGTGCATTCAATCGTTATGGATGCTACACTTAATTTACAAAAGTACAAAAAAAAAAAAAAATATCATTTTAGTAACTAAGGCACAAATTGTTTAACATCACATAACCGCAACGATTAAATGGTATTGAATCGGTATCGATGTATTATATATGTTTTATATATTTGAAAATACATGTTTTTATCAGATCTTTAATCATTGGCGGATTATAAAATATTATTGGGTTTGTATTATCGTAAAGGTTTATCTTTTATACATTTTCGTCACAAATCCCACAAAACAAGTTGATAGATTCCGTTCAAGTTTTGGCAAAAAATAGTTTTTATTTCATTTCTTTGAGCAGAAAAATATCCATTTTCTTGTATTTTGTATACTGAAAGTTACATATATTAATTTAATCCCTATGTACGGCTTCTTGTAAAGAAAGAAGGTAACCTCTCAATTCTCATTAGTTCATTATTTTCTTAGTGCGTATATAAATTAACTCAAATTGGTATATACAATTTACATAAAATAGTTTAGCGGTTAGACATTATCTTAGTTTTGAATGGTTTTGGAATGGAAAAGGAGTTAATATTTCATTGTTTTCAGTTATATATAAAGAAAAATTACATATTTTGTATTCATTCTCACTTTAGATGTATTTGATGCATTACATCTAACTGATAAATTAACTTATTTTTCAAGTTTTTTAAAGTTGTCATGTTTGTCAATGAATTTGAAAGATTTAAGAAGCTTTTACAAATAAAAAAATTTGAATTTGTTTGAGGATTCAAATTTAAAGCTTTTAGTTTGTAATAAAAAAACTCTTAAATAAGTAGTTTATGAGAGAACTTTTACATCCACCTTTTCTGTTAATACAATTTTATATTTTTAAAACCTTCAAATCTATTTTTACAAACACTTCTGCACAAATAAATCTCTTGTTACCAACCATTTTAGGAAAAATACCTAAATGTAAAAATACGAAGTTAAGAACATATTTTGTATTGATTATACTTTAGGCATTGTATTTTCTTTGGGTCCACATTACATAATCGACCATACTTTATTTAACAATAAAATTTAAAGTACATTGTTATATAGCAGAAAATAACTTAAATTACCTTAGAATATTGACATAAATTATAGTATAATTCTACATAAGAAAAACAAATTGGCAAATTGCCCAAAATGCTAATATATATGGTCCCTAATTTGGCGGATTGCTATGGCCAAATAGGGTTTAATACTTCACGACTTTTTAAGGTTTCATAGAATTATACACTATTGTACTCTATGCAATAAAAAAGTTAAACATTTTTATGATCCGACCATTTATGCATGTGAAAAAGGATCAAGATTACATGGATTTTTCAAGATTTCATTAAATGTTAGGCAGTTGAGAAGTGTATTACTTCATTTATTAACTCCCTTCTACCCTCAAACTTCATATCCAGTATTCACAATTCTTTCTCTCTCTGCTCTCTCTCTCTCTCTCCTTCCAAAGTGGGTTCATGGCTCGAAGAACCATGGGTGTGGGCATGGGTCTGGTCACAGCCATTTTGATTGTGGGTGCAGCCATTGGTGGAGCCAATGGAGATGCCATGGTCAGTGGCTCAGTCTTCTGTGACCAATGCAAAGATGGCCAAGTTTCCCTTTTTATGGATTACCCTCTCACTGGTCAGTTTTTACAATGACTAAAAATGTTTTTGCATATTGTATTTTAGTTGTTTTTTCTGATTTAATTGATCAAAAACAAATTCTATCTAAAGGAGTAAAAGTAGCAATGGCTTGCCCGGGGCAGGGCGGGCAGCTCAAGGTGATTAGCGAAGAAACCACAAATTTTCTAGGGAGTTACGTAATGCGGTTTGATGGGGAACCGGATATGAGTGGCTGCCGGGCACAGGTTTCCGGCGACGGGCAAGGGTGTCGGGCAGTTGCCGGTCCTGCCCAGAGCTTGAATCTCGTGTTTCAAATGTTTGACACTTCGATTTATACCGTTGGTCATTTGATTTCCCAACCTGCCCAGCCAATGCCCAACTGCCCGCGGTCATCTTCCCCCGTGCCCACGCCGGTAACGCCAACATTGCCTCCTCCGGCCAAGTCTCCGCCTGTTCTTCAACCACCGCCACTACCACGGTTGCCGCCCATGCCGCCAGTTCCGTTCTTGGAAGCTTCAGCTTGTCCATACCGGTAAGTGTGATCATCAACCATTCAAACTTCTATCCATGCAGTATTGACTTGTACTTTGTGCATATGAAATTCCTGCTATTATTCTCCGTTGACTGTACTTTATGAATCTGAAAACTGAAATGCACCATGCTACATTCACTTGTACATTATGCATATAAAAGTATCATGATATACTAACTTGTGTACATCTTAGAAAAAAAATTATAGGAAAAAAAACTATACTAATCAAATTTTTGAAGAAAAATTATATAGCGATCACTGTGACCTTGCTAAACTAACACAAATTCTCATTATCCTACATGACAATTCGTATGTATTTCCTAAAATAATATCTAATTTTTTGAAATTGTTTCTTACATGAGAAGAGAAGTTATTTCATGTCTTGAAGGTTAATAATGTCTTTTCACCATCTTTTTTTTGTAGCATGTGGACAATGCCGGAGCACGAGTGTTATTGGAGGGTGTTAGCCCCGGACCTAAAAGTGTCATTTGTATTCGGACCACTGGCAGCAAGGAAATACGGGAATGATATTACACTGCGTGGAAGCATGACTGGTCGTGGGGACCCATACAAAACCCTTTTAAGAGAAGCTACAACTGCACTTTTAAACTCCTACAATAGTATTCAATTCCCCTATCATCCACTCGATGTTGTTCAACACTTAAATATGGCATTGATTGGAGGATCCACACGACAAGTTCTTATCACTGCCCTTCAGTTCCTTAGGGCAAATTCGGGTCGACCCGGAAATGTTACGTGCAAGTTCACAACTTGCAAGTAAAATGGTTGTTTTCGTGTCAAAACTTCTCCTTATGTTTAAACGAGTATATTTTGACTGATTTATATTCGGATATTATTTTTATAATATATGATATATGTGAGGTATCACTATAATCCTAATGTTGTTGTATTCTATAGTGTAAGTAATCCAGTATTATTCTTTATTTCAATTAAAGATGTTGTTGATCGTTGCTATATAGTTTCTATATATGTAGGCTAAATAAACTTGTAATGATCTATGTAGATATTAGTTCAAATTATTTCGTACTTACTCATAAGAAATTAACCACCTCATAAAAGTTCTTAGGCTTATATTTCTTACGAATAATAATTATGTGTAACAAATAAGTTGTTACTATTAGTAAAAATATATGACGACTATGATGATATTATAAACAAGACATATGGTTATTATATAATATACTACTTTGGGTAAAAAATGTAATCCGTATATGGTTTGGCATGAGCATATGTTGGTACAAGATGCGGTTTTTGGTAGCGACATAATGCGATGTTGGGTTATATGGTACAAGTGTTTAATACGTTGCAAGACGTTTTTCAATTATACGGTACAACTATTTAATGCGTTGTAAGACTTTTTCGTCTCCTAAAAACGGCAAATTAAGTAGGATTGGCCTGCAAATTTATTTAATATTTTTTTTTTGACATTTAGCTGTTTGTAATTATGGATGAATTCTGTAATTTTAGCTTTATAAATCCATCCAAGATCCAAATAAGCTATTAATGAACTCTGTTTTCGACTCACTACCGAGTTGACTAAGCCATGACCCCACCCATGCTCTTCCTAGTTCTTCTAGCATCGCTCTCGTTATCTACTTGCCATGCTCATAAAGAAGCCACGATTCGCGAACTCAGAATCGCATTTAACCAAAACCGACTCAACTCAAGGCAACTCGTCGAGTTCTATCTTGGTGAGATCAAGAAACTCAACCCGATTCTTAAAGGGGTCCTTGAAGTGAACCCCGATGCCCTATATGAAGCAGATAGAGCCGACCGAGAGAGGGCAACTAACGTGCCTCGGTCCCTGGTCGGCTTGCATGGCATTCCTGTCCTTCTCAAGGACAGTATTGCCACAAAAGATAAACTTAACACAACAAGTGGTTCGTTTGCACTGCTCAGGTCCATCGTGCCCCGAGATGCAGGGATTGTTTCAAAGTTGCGGAAATCTGGAGCGATTATATTGGGGAAGGCTACCTTGAGCGAGTGGTCTAATTTTAGATCTCTAAGTGCACCTAGTGGTTGGAGCCCGAGAGGTGGACAAGGAAAGGTCAGTATTAAAAATTATAGTGTCTAGAGTTTTAGTTCAAACTTGCAACTTACATGAATTGCTCAACTAAATAATCAAGACGCTCTTACAACACGTTATGGTATTTGGTAAGTTGCAAAAAGTAGCAACTTACTTTACCACTCGATATCACTATAAGTAACTATTTGACATTATTGCAACATAGTTACACTTTTTACTCGTAAATCAACATATATTCTTTTTTTATCTATACCGATCGTGTTAATATGAAAAACAAAATAAATAAATCGTGCTTTATTAATTACCTATAATAGCAATGTACTTAACTTTATTTATCCATAACTACAACCTACTTATATTTTTTTTACCCGTTATAGCAAATATACTTTATTATTTTTTACGAAAAAATAGAATTATGTAATCTAACATCTTTAAGCATTTTACGTATTTATATCATATATACCTATCCTTTGTTACATATTATGTGGTTATTGGTAAAGTAATGAAAAACCATTTTCATTATGGATAATGAAATGTAAATATGTTGCTATTATGAGTAAAAGATAATTACATTGTTTATATCGGTAGCGAAAGTTCATTCATTTCTATTTTCTGCAATATATCGTATTGTTTATGAACAAAACGAACATCTTCTAAATTTTTTTAATGCATCTTTGTAGAATCCTTACGTTCTATCTGCAACTCCATGTGGCTCGAGTAGCGGACCAGCAATATCAGTATCGGCTAATATGGCGGCAGTGTCAATAGGAACCGAGACAGACGGGTCTATCTTATGTCCCGCTAGCTTCAATTCAGTGGTTGGTATCAAACCTACTGTCGGTCTCACTAGCCGAGCCGGGGTCATCCCGGTTTCTCCGTCACTAGACACCATCGGGTAAACTTTTTTTCACAATCATTTTACGCAATGGTTTCCATGTCACTATTCACTTATTATTATTATTATTATTATTATTATTATTATTATTATTATGTTTTTTGGTCGTTTATCAGGCCGATATGTAGGACCGTGTCGGATGCGGTTTATGTTCTTGAGACCATCGTGGGATTCGACTACAATGATCGCGACGCTACTAAAAAAGCGTCGCAATATATCCCGTATGGTGGATACACTCAGTTCCTAAAGGCTGATGGGCTCAAGGGGAAGCGAATCGGTGTTGTTAGAAACCCGTTTTTCGTGTTCTCTAATGGATCAAACTTACATCAAGTATTTGAAAATCATTTGCAAACACTAAGGTATCTTTTCTTAATAAAGTGGATTATATATACCGTGCAAATTAAAAAAAAAAAAGATAAATACAAAACAAGAACATAAGGTTTCATTTGTTACATATTCCGAGAGACATAACATAATAGTTTATAATGTATTTGACGTGCATTCAAATAAAATCGTAATTGCTGTCAATATTAAAACAATCATCGTGAATGTATTTTTAATTCTCAAACATTATAACATGACTTTCTTTTACAAACTTGTTAGGCACGAAGGAGCGATCTTGATTGATAATTTGGAGATTACTGGCATCGACACCATATCTAACGCCACCGCTAGTGGTGAAGCAGCAGTTGCAATAGCCGAATTTAAGATCGCAATAAACGCTTACTTGAAATCACTTGTAGCGTCTTCTGTTCGCTCGTTAACGGATATAATCGCATTCAATAACAAATTTTCCGATTTGGTAACAACCCGATTCATAAAAACTTTAAACACCATTTGTTATCCATTAGTTTTTTTGGTTCAAAAATTTATGCTTGATTGCAGGAAAAGATTAAGAATTTTGGGCAAGATATATTTTTGGCAGCCGAAGGGACAAATGGGATCGGAGATTTGGAGAAGGCAGCAATTGCAAACATGGCGAGGCTTACGAGAGAGGGGTACGAGAAGATGATGGTGGAGAACCGCCTAGACGCGGTGGTGAGTCCACGTGCTGATATTTCTCCGGTGTTGGCTATAGGTGGTTTTCCGGCGATCAGTGTTCCGGCTGCGTATGACAACAAGGGTGTTCCTGTAGGTATTTGTTTCAGTGGATTGAAAGGGTCTGAACCTACATTGATTGAAATCAGTTATGGATTCGAACAAGCAACAAATGTCAGAAAAATTCCGACGTTTTTGCCTTGATCAAGAATCTTTGTCGATACTTGTATGGATCTCGAAATTAGTTTACTTGTTTGCATTTAGAACATGGAAAGAAATCTTGAGCTTTAATGACAAACGAAAAGGGTATTTCAGCCATTAATTTGTGAGGGGATTAGTAGTGCGTTCTTGTTTAGATGGATTTTCCTTTTTGTTGTAGTTGTCCTTGCTTTTATTTTTCGAAGAGGCCGATAAAAGATGAGTTAATAGAAAATATTATTTCTCAATCGTACTTTTGTACTTTGATTGTATAATAGAGGTGTTAAACTTAAAGAAAACTTGATTGGGTGGTTGCAACACCTAACCATGTCAATTTCTTCTTTGAAATGCTTTTTAGCTGGCTACTTGCTAGTTTTTACAATACTTCAGATGTTTAATAGAATAAATTTATGACATCTGATGAAAGGTCACAAAGAAAGGCAAATAAAATAAGAAATTGAGTTATTTGAGTTGAACAAAATCAAATTTTTATTACTACTTCATTGTTTATATGTCATTATAGCATGTTTGTCGATCAAATCTTATTGGTTTTTAATCATGCACATGACATACGATGTCATCGATATTTATATAAAGATTATAACCGTACGAGATTCATATATTAAAACTGTAGGAGAACAATGTTTGAAAAAAAAGATTCTTTTAGTTGGTTATTATGAATATAATTAGGGGAGTTGGTAACCAAACAACAAACCACGATTTTCTTTTGAAGTTTTGAATGTTGAAGTTTAGCGACAGGTTTTGGTTGACCTACTTTAATCATGTATTTGACTTTGAAGCAAAGGGTGCATTTTCGGGAATATAATTCGTTACACAGGAATAATTTGTTGATTCCGTTGTCTTTAGTAAATGATGACGTGCAAAAAAGAAACTTACATCGTTATTTGTAATAAGTTTGATTGGTTAATTTTTATCAATAAAATGACATGACACAATTGTTATCGTAAAACTGAAGGACCCATTTCAATTCGATTTATTTTAAATAAATTTGATTGGTTTGTTGTAATTTACGAATGACATTTTCACACAATGCTCTAAAACTTAAGGGGTTAAGTATCATAAACTTAAAAATACAAAGGATCAATTACAAATGGGTCCCACGTTGCTTCCATGACTCACTTCTAGATTTCTTTATTGTAGCTGAACCACTATCCCCAAACCCCACCCTCCCACCCCACACCACCCCACCCCAACCAACCCCCTAGCTGGACCACTATAAAACCTAAAAAGAGAACTAATGGAGTAGATCCAAAAAGCACACGCATACAAACAAATACAATGGTCGACTCCATGGTCACCTTTTTCCTCATCTTCCTCTTAGCCATCGGAACCCAAGGTCAAACCTCAGACGATGTGAGTTGGGCCAAACGTGTAGACACAGGTTCACAAGTAGTCACAACCATGCAATTCTACTTCCATGATACTTTAAGTGGAAGCAACCCAAGTGCAATCCAAGTGGCTCAACCGCAGTCAGGCAGCAACTCACTTGGAGGGTTTGGTAACCTAATGATGGTGGATGACCCGTTGACCGAAGGACCCGACAAGAACTCCAAGCTCATTGGACATGCCCGTGGGATGTATGGTCAAGCTGCCCGAAATGAGCTTGGGCTGATTATGGTTTTAAATTATGGTTTTACTGATGGGATATATAAAGATAGTACGTTCAGTCTTTTGAGTTTAAACCCTGCTATGCAGACAGTTCGTGAGATGACGATTGTTGGTGGTACTGGACTTTTTCGACTAGCGCGTGGGTATGCTTTGGCTCAAACGTACTCGATTAATTCTAGTGGTGATGCTGTTGTAGGGTACAATGTCACGATTTCTACTTATATTTAAGTTGTAACATTTTTGTTAATGTTTGTTTTTAGCGTCCAATGTATTTGAGATGTATGTTGTTCATTTACATTATCAAATATTTAATAAATCGGTAATATATTAGAAAGTAGAATGGTGCCCACTTAAATCTTTTGTATGCGAAAATTTTAAGATGGGTATTGCTTTTGCTTTGTTGGAAATGTTTGGGATATCGTTAACTATTTGATTTTAAGAAAAGAAAATATTAAGAACGACCATACTATTATTTAAAGACTGTTTATAGATAATAATTACATGTTGTACACAATTTTCTTCTAATGGAACTTTTAATTGTTATTTTTTGTTTTAAACAGACTTATATGATGATGCAAATAACAAAAACTTTAAGTCGGCCACTACGATTGTACGATTGTCTTGAACCAAAATCTGAAGTCCTCCATGATTATTATTATCAATGATTTCTCATATTATCAATATTTGAGCCTGCGTTTTGCCGCGAGTTTTTATGTGTTTTTTTGTTGCGTATTAATAAAGAATATGAGGAAAAATCTATTAACCTTAAATGAAGTATTTGCAGAAACACAAAAGTAATTTACACAAAAGTTGTGTAACTTAATTCTTAAAGAAGTAAAATTATAGAACATTAAAAACTAGATAGCTATGAGGCTTACATAGAAACGAAACCGCAAAAAGTAACTAACCCACTAACATCTACTTGAGAACATAAAGGAAACCAACAAATTACTTGAAAGACAAAGTCAAATGACTAAAACAAATGACTAAAACTAGGAAAGAAACAAAAGGGCATAAAAGTAAAAAAGGATAGAAATGTGCAAAGAGACCAATGCACGTGACTAAAACCAGGTGTTGTACTTTAACATTCCCTCTCAACACCTGCTTCAGTCATATTCCAATTTTCTCACAGAATTCAATAATCTTCTTGCTTGGCAATCCTTTCGTGAGAAAGTCTGCAACTTGGTTTGAGGTTTTAATGTAGTCAATATCCCCATTTAGAACCTTCTCTCTAATGAAGTGATAGTGAACTTCTACATGTTTTGTCCTGGCATGGAATGTAGGATTCTTGGCCAGCTGAATTGAGGAAAGGTTGTCACAAAACATTGGAATGCTGTATTCAACCTTTTGAGTTAAATCTTTCAAAAGTTGTACAAGCCACACACTTTCTTGGGCAACCATTGCTGCAACTTTTTACTCTGCTTCAGTTGTAGATAGAGACACTGTGGCTGTCTCTTACTACACCACGCCACTGCACTGGACCCCAACATGAAAACAAACCCAGTTGTGGAACGACTTGTGTTTAAATCGCCTGCATAATAATCATCACAATATCCAGAAAGCTTGCAATCTGGTTCCCTCTTAAACATAATTCCACAATTAATTGTGGTTTTAACATACCTTAGGACCCTTCGAACTGCATCCAGGTGGAACTTTCTTGGATTTTGCATAAATCTGCTTAACACCCCCACAATGAAAGCTATATCTGGTCTTGTTAGAGTAAGATAGATGAGACTCCCAATAATCTTTCTGTACATGGTTGCATCTTCTAACTCTCTGCCCTTGTTTGCATAAATCTTTGCATTTGTATCTACTGGGGTCACTATAGGCTTGCATTCATGCATGCCAAAACGAGTCAACAGATCAGCAATGTATTTGTGTTGATGCAATACAAGTCCTTCACTTTCATATTTCACTTCTAAACCCAAGAAATGTCTCAGCTTCCCAAGATCTTTCATGTTAAACCTAGTACATAGATTCTCTTTCAATTGAGCAATCACATCTTCAAGATCACTTGTGATAATAAGGTCATCTACATGTTGGATTAGGTATCTAAGTCCATAACTGTAATTGATATGTACTTGAATTGATAGCAGCATAGTTCTTTTGGGTTGCCCTGAAACCTAGCAACTGGACAAGGAAATTATGAAAGGAGAGATATTAGTTTATTATGAGATTAATAAATTAATATAAATGATTTATTAAAATGTTATGAAAATAATATATTAATTAGAAATCAAAATATTTAATTAATAGTTAGCCAGAAATTAATTAGAATTAATTTCGGGGTTAAAAGTATTAATTATAAAGTGCAGGTACTGATTTGCAATTATCAAATAGTTGAGTGGAAGGCTCCAGAACCTCCTTGGAAGGAGGTGGATGAAATCTATAAGGGAAACCCTAACGATTTCATCCAAGGGGGTTTAAGATAAGGCCCTTGGGTTTGCTTAGGCCCTAAGCAAAGGAGCATTAAGGTTTTCCCTAAACCCTAGATCCCTCAGCTATATAAGGAGCCTCCCAGCTCCAAATTTCGACCACTCTTTTTTGAAGAAACCCTAGGGCCGAAAATTGCATACTCCCTCTACCCTCTCTCCTTCTAGTTTCCTTCTTGCTAGTTTTTGGGTGTGATTCCATTAGAGGCATTACATTTGTGGTGCTAAGCTTCCAAGAAGATCAAGATCAAGATCAAGAGGATTGTCAATTGTTTGCTATTACAATTGAAAGGTATGTAACTCCTAAACCCTAGTTTGTTAATTTTGAAAATAGCCTCTTTCCTCTAGGGTTCTTGTTTGCAATTCAAAACTATATGTTCAATAGTTAAAACATGGATCCAAAGTAGGTTGCATGTGAACTTAGGAATTGTTTTTCTAGTTTATTTGTTTTGCCTAAAACTCATCACTACATAGACAAGAACGACTGCCACTTTATCACCCACAACTTTCATGAATAAGCTTGCATTTGCTGTTGTTATGGAATAACCATTGTGCTCAAGAAATTCTATAATCTTCCCAAACCACTCCCTAGGCGATTGCTTGAGTCCATAAAGGGATTTCTTCAATTTACATACATACTTGGGATGTTGCTTGCTCTCAAACCCCATAGGTTGCTGCATATGAATTACATGATCCAGGTCACCATACAAAAATGCATTGCTCACGTCCATCTGCCAGAGATTCCAATATTTTCTTGCTGCTAGGGCAAGAAGAACACTTACAATGGTTAATTTAGCTACCGGGCTAAATGTATCTTCATAGTCAAGCCCAAATTTTTGTGAGAAACCCCGTGCTACTAAACGAGCTTTAAATCTCTCAACTGAACCTTCTGCATGTTGCTTCACTTTGTACACCCACTTGCACGAGATAGGCTTTACATCATCAGGTTTTGGAACCAACTCCCAGGTTTGGTTTCGGACTAGGGCTGCCATCTCTTCTTCCATTGCAACCAACCATTCACGCTTTGTACACGCTTGATCAAACGTTTATGGTTCACAAATTCCACTTTCAACAATAACAACATTAGCATATCTAGGATTTGGTCTTTTATGTCTAGATGATCATCTAAGACTTACTGGCTCACTATTTTCACATTCAGTGTGCACATTATTAAACACTCTGGTCTGCCATGGTTGTTGAGCTTCTGTATGAGCAACATCTTCTTCAGTAACAACCTCTTCATCAATAATACTTACATTAATGTTGGAAGACTCCAAACCTTCTTTAAGCACATCTGAATCAGGTAGAGTTTCACGATTTGAAGACCACCATGAAGATGTTTCATCAAACACCATATTTCTAGAGACATAACATTTTCCATTGTTAGGATCACAACATCGCCATCCTTTTCTTTCTTGGTCATACCCAACAAATATGCATTGAACTGCATTCTTCTCCATTTTATACCGCAAGTGACTAGGTATAAATACATAGCATACACAACCAAACACACGTAAATGGCTTACATTGGGTTTGATGTTCAAGAGTTTCTCGAGAGGAGATACATACTGAAGACCTTGTTGAGGAATTCTATTGATAACATACACTGTTGTCTTCATAGCTTCATCCCAAAAACGACCTGGAACATTTTTGTCATGGATCATACTCCCACTAATCTCAGCAATATGACGGTTCTTTCATTTTGAAACTCCATTTTTCTGTAGAGTGCTTGGACATGACAACTGTCGCTTGATTTTGTGCTCAGTTAGATAGTCGGTAAACTATTTAGCAAGATACTCACCACCATTGTCTGACCTCAAACATCGTATACTGTGCTTCACATCTCTTTCTGCTTCAACTTTAAATTCTTTGAATTTGTTGAATGTTTTAGCTTTCTCCTTCATGAAGTATACCTAAATGAATCTTGAATAGTCATTTATAAAAGTGACCATATATCTCATACCTCCAAGTGCGAGTTGTTTGACAGGTCCAAACACATCTGAATGCACTAGTTCCAGCGGTTGTTTGGCTTTGTACATGGACTTCTCAAAAGGTAACCGATGAGCTTTGCCATATTGGCAACCTGCACAAACAAGATTCTTGTTTACTTCGAGTTGAGGAAGACCGGTGACAAGCTTCTTCTTCATCATCATATCGAGTTTGTCGTAAGCTACGTGACTTAAACGCATATGCCAAAGATCCACATTTTGATTCTTCTTTGTATTATCTACATATGTTGTTTCAGCGGACATCACATAGATAGACTTTGATCGTCTTCCTTTGGCAATGGGGTGAGATGGGGTTTTAAACTCCTTGTATACTTTTACATCATTAGGACCAAAAAGAACATAGTGACTTGCTGAGGTTAATTGGGACACAGAGAGAAGGTTCTTTTTCATCCCAGGGACATGATACACACTTTGTAACATCATCTCTTTCGTGTTCTCTTCCGGGTGAAACTTGACATCACCGACGTGGGCAATTGGCAACCTAGAGTCATCAACAATCAAGACTACACGAATACCTTCATATTCAAATGGATCTTTGATAATTTCTTTTTCACCCGTCATGTGATTCGAACACCCTAAATCTACAATCCACTGATCTAGCCATCTCTTGGTTGTAGCTGTGAGAGCCATAATGTCTTCCTCTTTAGCAAAGTGTGCTTCAGCATCCCAAACATCTTTTTTAGATGTAGCTGCATTTCCTTCTTCCATACGTTCTGATGGACAATCGCTTGCTCTATGACCCTTCTTGTTGCATTTATAACATTTAAATGGAAACTTTTTGTTTGAGTACTTTTTTTTGCTTCTCTTCAGGCTGCTCTCTTCTCATAGTCACGATTCTTTCTTTCATCACCACGACTTTTGTTTCTCTCTGAGTTTCTTTTGGAACTAGAATTGTACTTTGTCTTAACCTTCCCTTTTCCCTTCTCCACATATAAGGCTTCCTCCTTAACTTTTAATGTGACTCCCCCCTATTTGTTTTGCAAGAGCCTCTTGCCCTGCTAAGAGGTTTTCAAACTCAACTAAGGATGGTTGTACAGGCCATCCCTGAAGCTACCACAAAGCTTCTAAATTCTGATTTTAGGCCATGTATAATGATCTGTTTCATACGAGTCTCACTGATATGAGACAGTGGATCAAGTTCTAAAATCTCCCTGTAAGTTGACTTCACTTTATGGAAGTATTGAGGAATATACATCTCACGTTGAGACACAGAGAGCAACTCATTTTCTAGAAGTTGCAACTTTGTGTCATTCTTTTTCGAGAACAGTGATTGAAGAGTTTTCCAGGCTTTGGCTGGAGTCACAGCATCGCGGATGTGTTCAAGAATGTCTTCTTCAACTGTTGTCTTCATAATAAACATTGCCTTTCTTGCCTTGATCTTCCATTTTCATAGAACCCCATTGTTATCTTTAGCTTCTGGTTGCTCTTTCTCAGTACCATTTACAACCTCCCACAAATCCTGCCCCTGCATGTACGAAGTGATACAGGTGGACCATGTGTTGTAATTTTGGTTTTTGAGTTTCTTGACACCACCTACTACTTGAAGATCAGCCATGGGTCATCTGATACCATATTGTTAACCTTAAATGAAGTATTTGCAGAGAACAGAAACACAAAAGTACTTTACAAAAAAGTTGTGTTACTTAATTCTTGAAGAAGTAAAATTAAAGAACATTAAAAACTAGATAGCCATGAGGCTTACATAGAAACAGAAACTGCAAAAAGTAACTGCCCCACTAACATCTACTTGAGAACATAAAGGAAACCTACCCATTACTTGAAAGACAAAGTCAAATGACTAAAACTAGGAAAGAAACAAAAGGGCATAAAAGTAAAAAAGGATAGAAATGTGCAAAGAGACCAATGCACGTGACCAGGTGTTGTACTTTAACAAAATCTTATAGTACGAGGATTGTGGGTAAACAAAAAAGTTTAGAAAACGAAGGGGTAAAAATGATAATATACAAATTTGAAGGCGGAGGGGGTAAAAATGATATTTAAAAAATTAAAAGGGTCGAAAATATCATTTTATAAAATATATTATGCAAGTGACAAATTATTCAAATATAAAGGATTAAGAGTGGTACTATTAGGTACAATATCACAATCTCACAAAGGAAGTTTTGGTTTTATATATATTTATTATAAGGGAAAATGACTTAAAAGACCAATTAAGTTTAAAAAGTGTTCATAGTACCGTAATTATATTTTTGTTGCTCAAGAAACACCAACAAAGTAATGTTTTTTATTAGAAAACCAAATAAAGTTACTAATAAATTAACATTTTTAAAAACCGACCGACATCTATGGGTTAACTTTCTTTGTTTATCGGTGACCAAAGGGTAAATATGACATGGCTTATTAAAACAAATTAGATGGAAATATAAATGCCATAAGGGAAATCGTTTCACCATCTAGGGTTCTCAGTGATGGGTGAAATCGATATCTAGGGTTCTTACACAACAGTGGAATCTACAGATGGTGAAGGAGAGTCCGTTGATTGTGCAACAAGCATGTTTGGTGACTCCCTTAACATTGATATCTACCACAAAGGTGTTTTTTCTCCTAATCCCGTTGTTTACTTCCATCCTCATAAACTACCTGTTACGGGGTTAGATGTACATAACATGGATTTCAAGGAGTTCAAGACCTATCTCCAAAAATTGATCAACAATAGATGTCGGGATATAAATTAATGTCTTAAAAATCGGTCCCTTGTAGTTGGGTTAAGGGAGCTCAGGGATGAAGATGATTATGTTAGGTTCCTTGATGCTGGGTTTGATGATGATGATAATCAAATTAGTATCCACATTGATGACTATCATGAACCCTTACTAGATTGGATTGAAGAAGAGAAAGCTGAAGAAGGGGATAGTGGTACTGATACATATGAATATGATGTGGACTTGGTATTGTCGGATGATCTATCGGTGGACCATGAAGCTGATGATGAGGACATTCAGTGACCTGAACTTGTTGATCCTTTTTTGTCTTATAAGTATCTTATTCTAGAAAGAGGCATATAGGATGAAGCTGTTGATAAGGTAAAAAAACATCTTATTCATGATCCTAACAAAAAATGGGACACTATGATGTCTGGGTTAGGTATGAGATTCTTTGATCGAGATGAACTGAAACACATGTTAACAAATTATGCTGTGTCTAAGGGTTATGCATTGTGGTATGAAAAAAATGAGGCAACTAAATTGTTAGTAAGGTGCATTAAAAATGAAAAAGGGAAGCCATCTTTCCCTTTTAGACTATGGGCTAGTCCCATAGATAATTTTGCTCCTGCTGTTATCATTCAATAAAAGTGCAATGCAATTATGTGTATTTTCAATAAAATTACCTTTGTGTTGAAAGACCATTTTAACACAAATTACATACATAATGTCAAACAGTTTTATGGACTATTTTGCCCCTACTATTATCATTTGATAAAAGTGCAATGCTATTATGTCTATTTTCAATAAAAGTACCCTTGTGTTAAAAGACAAGATACATAAACACATTCTTTTTATTCCCACTTCATACCAACATTACATGAGTATAACTAATTTGAAGATAATTTAAAAAAAAATAAATTCAAAGTAAATTTCCCCTTAGATAAGCAACATACCGACATACAATCATATATGAATCTAGAAAATAATCATCATGAATAGTGTTAACTTAAGGCGGACTTTAGTTGGAGCATGGCGTTGCCTTGCATGCTAATGTAAACCTTTATGATTTTCATTTTGAATGTCAAAATTAGGGCCAAAGTGGAATGATTGAAACTTTTAAAGACGTCAAATTATCTTAATTTCTCAAATTTGGCAGTTTTAGAACTACAAAACTTATTTTGTCCTTTATGTAAACTCTTCTTGAGTTCTATTACTATTATGTAAATTCAAAAACTTCGTCTATCTTTGACATAAATATATATATATATATATATATATATATATATATATATATATATATATATATGATTAGGGGCCTTTGTGATACGTTAAATGAGTAATATGCAAGCTTTTAATGCAAATGTTAGAACTCTTAAATACTTGTTTTTGTGGCAAAGTTGAAATCTTTTTAATTTCATTTGTATAATTTAACCATTTAAACTTTCTTAAAAACCAGAGTTGCCAATTTGACAAGATTATCTCATCGACTATACCAAATATATGGAATGGAAGAACTGATGAAAGTAAAAAGTTCATTTTGATTACATTTATCTAGTTTTGCCAATTGGCCCTTTTACTTACATTTCCTAATCCTACAAAAACAATTGTCTTGAAGATTGAAAGAATGTACTTCAGAAATTTACAAAAAATCACATGTAATGAAAACAAAGAGTGTATGCAAGGAGAATGAGGCAAAATACTTCAAGGACATATGACGTTGGTGGTTGTCGAGACCAACAAAAATAATAACCCTAAATAATACACACTAAAATAATGCATAGTGGTAAAGGGGTCAAATCCACGGAGATTGGTTCAATTTATAACTCTATGAAAAATCTCTTTGTAAAAATACTTGGAATATGACAATAAATTAAAAATGGGGGTTTTGATGTTTTGAAATACTTGAAACAAACTAGAATTAACTATGATTTAAATAGACAATTGCAACAAAAGTAAGAGTTTGACGTAAAATCAATAAGGGAGAGATGGTTGACTTAAAGTTTCCTCACTTTGACTTTTGATGATCATATCATTAGAATCCAATGGTGCAATACTTTGATTTAAATCCTCAATTTGGATATAGTAATCCAAGAAGCTTGAGATTACCTAGACTTTTCTTAGTTGTTAAAATGGTTAGAGAAGCTCATAACAACTTCCTTAGTCAAAGTCACAATTTCCACAAAGATTTAAGAACAAGTTCATGGATTCTTCAACATTCAACAAAAGTTCAAAGGATTCAACAAAAAGTCAACTAAGATTAGTTTAGCCAAGCATGGCTAAACTCAAAGAAACAAAGTTAGAGAAGATTGTACCAAACATTAAGCAAGAATCAAGATGTAAAAAGATGATGTTCTTCAAGTGTTCTTAGCCTTCAAAAGTCTTCAAAACTCCAGAGAGAATCTCCAAAAATCGGATGTCCAAGAGTTTGCAAAAGATGGGCACCAACCTTCCTCAAATAGCTCAAAAGAAGAATTTCCGAAACTGCCCCTGCAAGAGGTTGCGCGACCCGCGTGCTATTGTGTGGGTGGGTTGCGCGGGTGGTCCCTGGATGTAGCATCTTTGAGGTTTTGGGCCTCCATAGCTTAGCCCACTTGGCCCAAATCGAATCCAATCACCTCCTAGCCCATTTTCTTCAAGTTTTTCTTCATTTTAAGCCCAATTTGACCTCTCCAAATCCGCCAAAGCTCGTGAACTCGCCTGATTAATAATCTACGCACGCTTGAATATTCCACCGTATCTTGCAAATTTAAAGTTTATTTCTCTCCAAGCCTTCAAATAATCATCAAGATCACTCCATGCATCATCTCCACTACCCATCAAGCCCAAAATCCTCGACGTCCTCTTATTCCATTTGCTTTCCATACGTCCAGAACATTCCCTCTCCACTAGTCTCCATGAAATCTGCAATAAAGCTCACAAAACTGGAAAGTACCCGAAATTGGCCATAAAATAACAAAAAGGAAAATACGCATGGAAATTATCTAAATTATGAATGAAATATGTTAAAATAAACTATAAAAAGAAGTAAATAAAATGAACTATCAAATCACCCCAAGCTTAAACCTTACTTGTCCTCAAGTAAGACAAGACTAAAATGAACTCGGGATGAACTATCCTAACAAAAATAAAAATAATGGATAGAACCGTAGAACCTGATCACTATTAGTCAACATGGTCAGAATTGATCTTGCTATTACCTCACGAATTTTTCATCCGATGACAATGGAACCATAAACCACAGCCAGGACAACTCCTTTAGGTGAGTAAGGAGGGATGAGCAGTCACAACCTTAATGGAACATGCATACAATGAAGAATATCTGTAGTAGGGAGAAAGCAGCTGGATGGGCTCGGGTGGAGCTCTTCTTTAAATGTACACTCTGATCTCACGTTTGCCAGTTTCTCTCATGTGTAACTAGGTTTATTCGCTCGGGCACCGTTGTAGGAATCGGCTCACTTGTTGTTGGCCCAAACCTCCCGTAGTATCCGACTCGACAGTTTCCCTAATACATGTGTAAAGCAAGGGATTTAGGTTTTAGTTAATACATGTGTAATCATTGCAAGGTATCATATATGTTTTAAATGTGACTATAAAATAATGTGTATTGCAAGGAAAAAAGAGGCAAGATGGCCGTTTGGGTTTAATAAATTAATTTGTTTCTTTATTTCACTTTTAAGTATATTATTAAAAATAAATTAGCTTCTTATTTGACTTTATAAGTATACGATTGAAAAAAAGGGCTTGACTTGAATGGTTGATGATCTCCCAAAGCTAGATGGCATTTGCGAAATGGTAACAAAAAACTAAAGTATAGGTTCTTTCAAGTGTTGAAATCCATATGGAGTTAATTCCATAGAAGAGGTAGAGGAGACATGGATGGAATGGTTGATTTTATAAAGTTGAATATATTAAACAATACACTGTCTTTAAAAAAAATGTTGAATAGAAACTAATGCTTAGTGATATTTGCCGATGCATTGTGTCTTATTTTTAATATGACATGTTTCCCAAAACAAACTAATCGTTGAATTAAAAGTAATCATTGTCTGCCGAAAAGAAATTAATTTCTGAAATAAGTATTCACCGCCTGTCGCTTTGCATGGGTAAATGACTAGTGTATATATATATATATATATATATATATATATATATATATATATATATATATATATATATATATATATATATATATATATTCGATTTCGAGTACTCGACCAAGTTTTACAATACTGCTTCCTGCTGATGTGGTTACAAAATCAGGGAGTGTATGCAAAGAGAAACAAAACAAATGATTCTAGGAATTACAACGCGTGAAATGTTAGAATCTAACCAAATTTTGTTGTTAGCAATTGTATTTAAAGTGTAAGATATGATATTTAGCAAAAGATATTTTCATAGATTCATAAACTTCATATTTTCCAAAAGAACATATACTTAAAGATAAGAAAACAACAAACATCTTCTTTCCATCATGAGTATCATCAGATAGATAGATATTTCTTTCTTTCATCCTTTCATTGATAAGATCGAGAATATCTAGTAAACACATAAATACATGTTATTTGGTGTTGTTAGGGAAGTCCTTAAGCTAATTGGTCAGGTCCATATTTTTATTTAATCCATTGCTAACTTTATTCCAATACGTTTAGAACTTTCCTCCACAAATGAAAATCCAAGTACATGTCACCCCTTACTTATTTGATCAAATTATCTATGGATATGATGGTGGTTACCATATTTTTTGCTAAAAATGTTTTTTTTAGTTTGGTGATCTACCTGCAATGTGACAATATCATTGCCACAATGGTAACAATGACAAAACAAAGCACTCTAGCAATTATAAAATAAAGTTGAAAAAAATTAAACATTAATGTACCTTCTGAAATTCAATTCCAAATGATAGTTGTGATGTAAGGGCACATATACAACTTTAAAGACTTATGTAAACGAACTAAATATGTTTGATGGTCGAATATAAACAACCTTTAGTATATTTAAGCAACAATAACTTTGAACATAAAGGAAATGTAAGTAACTGAAAATGAAGTGGATGGAAGTACGAAGAAGAAAGACACCGACGAGATCAGCGCACGTCCAGGAAACAACTTACTTTGTCACCAATGTCCTAGAGCAAGCAAGGAAAGGAGAAATCAGAGAGGCATTTGGAAGATTTGGGAAGGTTACAGATGGTTACATGGGAGAAAAGAAGGGGAAGAATGGGAAGTATTTTGTATTTGTACGGTTCGGTGAAGTCAAAGATGTCATGGAGTTAGAAGCAAAGATTAGTGGAATGATTTACA